CTACACCTATATGTGTCCGTTGTACTGCTTGCTGTTAGGGACGTTGTGTTCATGCTACGTAGTGTTGCGTATCGTTTGGAATTGAAATGAAACACAAGGGAGTGTGTTTTATTTTAATACGGTTTTGTGGGCGGCGTGCCGAAGGGTTTGGCCAGAGGATGCAACTTTTGTAAAAAGGGTTATTGTTGCGGCCTTGAGTTAAGTCAGAGAATCATTATTTGGTGTTCTGACCACAGAACGACCGTCCTACAATGAATTTCGCCATCATTGCGCGACCCTTAGGCGCGTTAAGGTTTCAAGGTCCTCTCACGCGAGTCTGAGCGCACCTCTCTCATATTTGAGCGACTGAATATGCCTCTCTTTGCCCTTCTTACTCTCAGTATAGTCTATTGGTTCATAGAGGAAGGCGGCAGACGGAATTGCAACCCATAATCCGTACTAAGGCCTTTGTGCAAGGTTTGTCGCACCGATTGTGGAAGCTCTGTCGGGACCTAGGTAAGGTTTTTGAGGCAGAAAACTATCACGTATACCTTCTTATATCTGTGCAAAACCACTATAGTCTCTCACACGAGTCTGAGCGCACCTCTCTCATACCTGATCGACTAAACATATGTCCCTCTGCCCTTTTTAATCTCAGTCTAATCTATTGGTTAGGAAGGCGACAAAGGGGATTACAACCCGTAATCCGTACCAAGGCCACTGTGGGAGGTTTGCCCCACCGATTGTGGGAACTCTGTCGGGACCTAGGCGAGGTTATGGAGACAGAAAAGTATCCGATATACATTTTTCTATGTATGTGAACCCACTATTCTCTTATGATTACATCTCTTTAGTTTGACCGAGTGATGTGCATATGTTCCCTTATGAAGTTCGTTTTTTTTTCATAACCTTATCAAACTAATTGGAAGGAATATATGCGTAAACATCAATTTTCTTTTCATTTATGACTGAAAGCAGACTAAGGGATGAACTGGAGAAGGTGGGAGGAAATTGGTATTGCATGCGTTTGACCGGGTCTCAAGGGTTGAGCATTGTTTGTAAGCTGAATCACCAGTGTTATGTTTATTGATTGTTTTATGAAGGACGAGACATTGTTTATAAGCTGAGTTATATGATTGCTATGTTTATCTTTAGAGGGTTTGCATGGCCGATTTTTTAGA